TCAAATTTTTTTAATTGCTTCTAAGTCCAGCGTTTGCTCCACTTTGCTTCAAGTACCTAATTGACAAATCAAATAATAAAAAAAAAATTAAAAATTAAAATGACTTAAAAGTAGACAATCAACAAAGAACTAATGTTTAATTCAATTCTTCAAAACCGTTAGATCCCCGGCAACGGCGCCAAAACTATGGTGCGATCGAGCGTGTGTACAAAATAATGCACAACACTTTAGGTTTAGAAATAATGTCAAGTGGGCACCATATTTTAAAATTTATAAAACCACTAAACACTTATACTATGAAGTATGAAGTGAGCAGGGATCGTCCCAAGAGATCTAAACAATTATAGGTTTTCCAGAATTGAATTCTACTTTAGTGCTTATGTGATTGCCAAAAGGGTTTTGTTTGTGATTAAAACTAATTTTAAACTAAATGATTGCAATAAAGAAATAGAGTTTAAGAGATTGGAAAGAGACTTAGGGTGTAAGATTCACCACTAAGCACATTCCCTAACTCACTCACTTTCAACTAATTGGGGAAATAATACTATGTAATCTATATGTGGCTAACAAGTGCAATGAAAAGTGTAAACCATCAATTTCAAGCATGAATCAACTACCTAATGACAATTAAACTAAGTGTAGTGCAATTCACCCATTCAAAGCATGATTTATCAATCCAAGTTTCAAATTTAACACACATTAATCTAGAAGATAATGCAATTGTGACAAAAAGTATGGAATTTAAACATAAGTATGGATGGTCTACTTACCTAATAATTGAATTGCAATTAAATTAATTAAACTTAAATTAAACTAATTAAACATGAATTTAAAACTAATTAGACAACAAATTAACCTAAAGTACCATCCATCAAATGGAAGCATTTTTCATCAATTTGAAACACAATTACAACTAAGCAATACCATGCATAGCCATCACAAGAATCAATTAACAAAGAATTCATGTGTAAAATTTGTTTATCAATCAACCACACATCAGACAATATGAAATTAATACAGATAATCAATTGGAAGAATTTAATTCATAATATTCAAGACTATACACTAATTACATAAATTAATCCCCAAAAAGTATGAAAAGAGAGAGAGAATAGGTTACATGCTTAGGGTTTATCCAACCCTAAGTAGAAGAATCAGCCACTCATGGTCGATGGAGTCGAAGACAGGACAATCCCCATCATCTGCTTCATCTTCTCTGAACTTTTCTTCCAAACCCTAGCCTGTTCTTGCTTTTTCCCTTTTTTCGCGTGTTTTTCCAGAGAGAAAATACGATACTACGATACAGAAAAATAAATAATAAAATAAAACTTCTCTTTTTTTTTTCTCTAATAATCTTTACCTAAATAAAAACTAAAACTAACCCTAATCTAATGGCTCACTGGGCCTTAAGTAACAATCTCATTAAAGCCCAACAGTTCCCAAAATGAGCCCAAAAATTAAATAAAAGCTGTAATGTTGCTAAGTCCTGGGGGATCGATCCCCCCAGAGTTGACAAATTCCTTTACGCCTTATTCAACTCTATTTTTGCCCCGGGCTATTTGGTTTGCTTCTCCATCTTTGGGAACATCATCAAAGGCCCGAAATTGACCGCTTTGTGCCATTGTCTGAAAATCTTTGCTTAACTCCAAAAAGGCTTAATTGGACCGTTCTTAGCTCATTTTAACTTTATTGCCCTGAAATACACATAAACATAAATTAGGACTAAAACATTAAATTAAGATAGATGCAAAGACTGAAATACCTTAGCTTAGGTGCTGAAATGTGCAACATTTAAGCACTTATCACACGACAAGGACCGATGCTTGAACACGAAATTAAAACAGGATAAGAGCCTCAACAAGGGCTTCACAACTAAACTAAAACTAAATTTAACACATGCATAATATTCACAACTCGAAACTAGAAGTCACGAGACTTACCTGGGGTCCTCTAGACTTACAATTTGCTAGCATTCCCTCGGCGAGCTTCGAGTCCCTAGAATCTTACAACACTTAAAACATTGAGATGGTCAAAACACACAAGAAATATTCACAAGACACAATATTCACAATCAAACTAAAATTAACCCTAGAACTTTGGTCGCTAAACCGTTTGCAGTCCCCGGCAACGGCGCCAAAAATTGATCGGTTGATCAACTATACATCAACCTTCGCAATAGCACGAATCATTATAAAATAGGGCTATTGGTCGGGTAAGTCGAACCACTGGGACTGCGCTAGTCTAATACAACCTAAATATCTAGAATCATTCTTAGAATGATGAAGGGTTTATAGAGGTTTTGTTGGATGTCACTTAAGTTAGGAAATTAAAAGTGCATAAAACAATAAATTGCAAGAATTCAAGGGAGTGAAGTACAAGTAAAGAAGGCTAGGGAAATGAATCCACCTCCATCCCTATACACATACTAGGTTAAGATTAATTTAAGGGAAAAAACAACATATATGATAGTCATGATACATAACAATACTAGGTTGCTATAATATCCTCAAGAAGTTCATTTAAATAGAAAGGCAAGAATAAACCATCAAAGGTTCACATGATCAACTACCTAAACTAAAATGTAGCTTAGAACATGCTTACTAAGTCAAGGATTATCAAGCCCTAATTTAAATGGTGAATGCACATAAAGCTAAGAATCAAGTATAGACCATCAAAAGGAAACCCTAAGCCATGAACTATCTAGGTTCTCCAACTCTATGCCATTAAAACCATTCCATGATCTAACTTCCATTGTCACCATGGAAGTGCAAGCAATATGATTGAGAAAAGTAACCATCCAAGACAAGATGAATAACTCACAATAATCATTTATAAACATTCAACATTCATTACAACAAAAATGAGGCTCTTGATCATGGAAAGACTATCAAAAATACATTGTAATCCCCAAAAATAAACTATACTAACACATGCTTATAAGGAAGGGGTTTCATCACCTCCCTAGATGAGGTTTAGTTGCCCATTGGTAAGCTAGAAGAAGGAAGAAGCATCATCCTCATCTCCATTTTCGTGCACCCTCTTTGGAGCTTGAAGAACACCTTCTTTTCTTGCTCTCCTCTCTCTCCTCTATCTTGCAAAATGTAGCTCATGATATGTGTGGCCTTGCTTCCCTTTATTAGATATCTTATCCACTCCAAGAGGTTACCAACCAACATCTCCAACCACTTCATTAAAGAGGAAAACAAAATGAAGAAACCAAGGTGCAAGTGGGCTAAAATGAGCCATTTCCGAAGGGCATTCTTCCCAAAATTCGAGCACTCGAAGCAAGGCCTCGAGCACTCGAATTTAGTGTAAAAAGTTCCATGCTTCACTTGCTCCGCCCAGACCTACTTTGGTTAAACAGCCATAACTTTGCGCTCCGAACTCCGAATGATGAACCGTTTGAAGATTTAGAAATCTAATTCAGAGCTTTAAATACTTCATGTTTTGGTGGAGATCCAATTCTCAAGGATGGTTGGTCGAAAATGAAGATCAAGGCAGAATTTCATTGCTGCCAGGCAATTCTGCGCACCTCTGGTAACAAGGCCATAACTCTCTGCTCCGAGCTCCAAATGACAAACCGTTTTGAAGATTTAGAAATCGAATTCAGAGCTCTAAATATGCCATTTTATAATAGAAGTCCAGATCTCGAGTTTTCAAGGTCAAAATGGCGAGCAAAGTCCAGGTTCCACTACTGCCAGAAATTCAGCATTGTGACCTTTGATGTTCAAAACTCCACAAAGCATCCTTCTTGCTTCTTTTTGGCCAATGAACCTGAAAATATACAAAAACGTGCATATGAAGGTAATCTACATAATTAAACAAACAATGGACTTAAATAATGCAATTAAGGGCGCTTGAATATGCAATATTCGGCGCTTATCAGGTTTTGCTACTTAGAGCTCGCCGGAATTGTGTTTGGTTTCACCGACACTAGGAGCTCGCCGGAACTGGGTCAATTCAGTTTTGACGTTCGTCGCTAGAGATGAACTGGGTTTCACTACTTGGGGCTTTACTAGGATCACGAGACGCGAATTTTCGCCGCCGATTACGATGTCGTCAAGGCTTATGTACGCCAGAAAGTCACGGTTGAGGGTTCCGGCGCCGACGGTGGTGATCAACAGCTCAATGTTGGAGAGCTTACAAGGGCTGGGTCCGGCCCTCTCGTCGGAGCACGAGACGCGAATATTCGCTGCCGATTACGACACCACGGCTGTAAGCCTATAATCTATGCCCCCACCTTTGCTTCCCAATCTAGTCAAGATGCTGACTTGCCCTTTACTAGTGTAGTGGGGTGATGGTTTACTGAAACTCGATCTTTTACTCGATAAACCTGTTCATAGCTACTTCCGCATAATATAGATGATAAAGATGACTGCTTATATTCGAAAATAAGGGCTTCAATTTGTGATGCCACGGCGGATGTTGAAGTTTCAGTTTCGACAGCAATTGACTAATGCTTCCATTAAACCCTTTGACATTGATCTTCTTGGGCAAGGGCTGGAACGGGCTGAATTGAAGAAGTGAAGGGATGAGGTGTCGATCGACTATAATGATTGGGAAAGCTTGTCCACATTTACAGCTTCAGAGCTACTTGGATTCTTGGAACTTGAGGAAAAAGAAAGTGCCAGCAAGAAGACATGACTGCTTGGGGAACCGAAGAGGGTATGTAATGGTGGATGTGGAGTAGGAAATGGTAGTGGTTATGGTCAGGAGGACGGTGGTGGTGGTGGTGGTGGTGGCGGTGGCGGCGGCGTGGGGTAGGGATAGGGGTGTTTTGTCATTTAAGATTATATATTTTTTGTATTAAAAAATTAAGGGTAAAAGAGTCAATTCGCATGATTCGAGTGTAACTGAAAATTAAAACCAAAATTTTCATCTACTGAAAATATGACCTAATCTCGTGGAGTATTGGTGTAATTTACCCTTAAATTTTGACCCATCATTTGGGGCGGGAAATGATTATATATATATTTATGTAGTAAATTACACGCACAAACTTACAGTCTCAGACACTTCATCTGCTTTGAGTGAACAGCGATGTCCAAGTTCGAATACCCAAGGCTCCGAAGGGGCGAAATCATCGGATTTCTCGCCGATGCGCAGATTGCAACCATTTCTGAAGCCGATCTTATCCATCCCAACCCAGATTTCATTACTAACCTCTACACAAGACTCTTACTACATATTGATTCTCTCCCGTACTTCCCTAAAAAGCCCCAATTCAATTTATTTTGCCCATTTCTAGGGTTTTCCCAACAAATTCTCACTAGGGTTTTGTCTAATTTCAGGGAAGATCACGGGCAAGTCGATTTTGCCGCCTTGGAACAGCTGGAGAACCCGGACATGCATGTCGACTCGGTCAGGACCTTCAATTTGTTGAGCAAAATAAAGGAGATTATGGAGGCTCTTGAGTGCCCTAGGACATTCACCCTCAATGATCTGATAAAGCCCGTCGGAGACAGAACAGAGTTGTTCCTTAGTGCCTTACTCAATTTCTGTATCGACAGGTTCGTTTAAGCTCTGTTTGGTTGGGAAAATGATACACTAAGCATTGTTTGTTGTTTAAAATTATTGTTAATTTGATGGGTGTTGATAAGTTTTCGTGTTTATGCTCTTGTTGTACTGGTTGCTTTGAGTGTGTTGGTACTTGGTATGGGAATGACGTTGTGTGATTTAGAGCATTCTTTGCTTTTCCAAGTAGCGGAAGCTATACATTGAATGAGTGTAAGGAGAGTGAAGAAAAGTGTGTCAATGGAATTATTAGTGTGCTTGGATATTCCTTATTTCTGGGTATATTTATTATTGTGTATGTATGTAATATGCATTCAGGCATTTATATATCTATGGATCAAGTATGACATGATCAGATAACTTCTTTCCAATTTACTTACACACCTTAAAAAATATATTCTGGGATCATTGTTGGATCAGGTGTTGTGTGATATAGAACATGGCATGACCTATCATTGTCGTCTATAGCGAACTGGAAATCCCATAATATATTTACCAAGGGGTGTCTTTACATGGCATGCTCGCCAAATGTAAAGTTGATAGAACTTGGGTTGTCCTATCTTTATGGCTTTTCAAATTAGAGTTTTGTTGTAGGGCTTATCATTTCCAGGAACTGCATTCTTGAAAATGAAAAAATGAAAATTATGTGGAAATTTTTTTTTCGGTTATCGACTATCGTTGTCTGATATATGGAATTCTCTTTGATTCCTGAAACAGCATTCAGCAACTGAAGAAATATAAGAATAGTTAAAGTTAGAGTGATGATGCTATTTTGATATTCTCTAGTGTCCCATGTAATTTGAATGTATTCATTGTGGCATACGTGCAACCTTAAGGGCTAAGGGAACTAATTGACCATCTATAGTGAATTTTATTGCTGAAAATGGAAAAATTAACATGCGATCGTGCAAGATAGTTTAGAGTATCAAATTCTTATTGAATGGAAAATATTTTTGCTATTTTCTTATCAGAATAAAATCAATGGTGTATTGTGACCTCATTTACAATGATTGGATTGTGGAAAATCTTATATTTAAGACTTATAAATTAATTCATTTTCCATGAAATGTTTAATTTAGACAAACATCTGGTTTGACTCTAAATTTGTTATTACATGTTTAGACAGAAATGAAACAAATTGAAATTTACTTTTATTGTAAGATGAACATCTAGACATTGGGTTTACTTTGTTGTTAATTGTTTGTGTCAATATCGTAGGGATTCAAAAATGAATATTTTGAGACCAATTGTGGACGAGCTGAACCTTCTTGATGACCAACGGCTAGAGTTGGAGGCCAGAATTTCACAGGTATCTCTAAGAATATGATTTGCTTAATTTCATATTAGCTTTTACTTGTCAGGTATTTATTTGAAGTTATCTGTTCATCTACATTACAGTTGAATGCAGAGATTGCAGTGTTTGATGAATCAAGAGAAATGGAAATGCCGCTTGTTCAAGAAGTAGATGCTAAAGTTAAAGAGCTGCGTCAGACCATTCCAGGTCTTAACAATCACCAAATGTCTTTGAAGGCTTCAATAAGAAAAATGAAGGAAAGGGCTAAAGAAATGGACGAGAAGGTTTGGCTTTTGCCTTAACTCAGTAATCATGGGAAAACAAATATGCCTAAATTTGTTAAGTTAATTGATGTAGTTGTCTAGTCTAATGTTTGAGGTAAAGTATTTGCAATTGGTGAGGGTTTTGAGAGTAATAGTTAATAAATGGATCAGAATCTTTGGTTTTGCCTTTGATGCAGTAAGAATGGAAAGCAAATATGCTTAAATTTTGATAAGTTTAATTGATGTAACTGTCCACTATCTGATGTTTGAGGAAAATGATTTGTGGTCGAGGAGGTTATGGAGGCAATGACTACAAAGATTGATTGGAGCACAAAGCAATTTAATGATTGAAATTTTTAAATGTTTGGATCCATAATGCATAAGACTTTAGTTATGATTTACTGAGGCGTCCAAATATGTTATTTGACTAGAATATTAGCAGAATATGATAAATCTGCCCACCGTTATCACCCAAGTGGCACTGACTATGAAAATTACACTCTTGGTCTGATATGGCTATGGTAATCTTTTGGTTTGTCTAGGTACTGGGTTAGCTATCATATTCCGTAATTCTTTGTGTGGATGGGGTGGGCTTTGTGAACATAGACATCCTTTTTTGTTTTACCTTTTTACATAAAACATGTATGGAACTATATATCGGATATAGACACAGCACAATGCAGACGCACTGGCATGACACATTCTTAAAAGTAGGACATTTGTCAGTAGAGGATATGTTTTTTTTTTTTTTTTTACCTGTTGTATATGCATTTTAGTAGGATAAATACATAAATTTGGTTGATTTTATTCAAACTTTTGTACAAGTAAATCTATGATTAATGCACTCTTACTCTGAGCTTGAGCTCTCAGCTTTGTCTTTTTTTTAGTTAGTGTATTATTTCGTGCATTTCATGCCTGGTCTGGTGATATGGGTTAAATCATGGTATTGATTATTTGTTCTCATTTACATACATGCACACACGTGTTTTGTTAATTCTTTTCACAAAAAGGGGAAAGTACAAAAATCACCCTCATGGTCCACATTTAACCCTTATGGTTTATATTGTGTATATAAATCCATATTGTATTTTAAAATGTTGCAAACAAGGGCTTACCGACAGTGTGCCATTAGGAGTTGGCCATTAAACAGTCATGTGCGTTGTACATGACATATTTAACAACTAAAAATCTAAAAAAGCCATTTCTCTCTTCCGAAAATGATATTATATGTATATTTATATCTACTCTCTCTACGGTCTCTCTCTGTGCTCCCACAGCTCTTTCTCTCTCTCTACACCGTCTCTCCCTAGTTCCTAGTCCCTACTCCCACGTCTCTTTATACTGTCTCTCTCTACTCCTACAGCTCTCTCTCTCTACTCCTACAGCTCTCCCATGTATTACACTCACCCATATATTTAAATAAAAATTCAAGATTGCCCCTTCAACGTTTACGAGACATAATTAAGGGTCATCCTCAAGTGACCGTGACACTACTCTCTCTCTAACGTCTCCTAACTTCATCAACTACCACATTATACAGTCCATCTCTGAACGCGTCGCTATAAACACAAACCTCTCCACGTATACAAAGACATTTAGGTATAACTGCAATCTAGAAACAGAATTACAAAAGAACCCAAATCCAAATTGGGGAAGCAAAAAAAGGAAAACTGATTCAGGAGCAGTTCAAAATCAATCCAAACACCTGCTTTTAGGGGTTGTTTTCATCATAAAAAAATCCCATTTATCTCTCAGGGGATTGGTTCATTGGTCTGGTTTATCCTCTTTTAATGGCTGATCAGAAGTACATTAAGGCCGAAGAGCTCAAGCCTGGTGATCTGTGTTTTAAAATTCCCTTGAAGTGAGGTTTTGGGATGGTGGTAATAGTGATGGAGTCATGGTGTTAGGGTTTTGTTGGGATGTGCAGAGGTGAAGGAAGACGAGTGAAAGAGAGGGCAAGCCAAAACAACACTGTTTTGTTTGTCCATTTTAGTCTTTTTACATTTTTTTTTTTTCCTGTTATGCATGACATCAGCCCCTATTTCTCATCTAAAATGAAACAGAGGGGTGTATAGAAAACAGTAAGGGGTTATATGCACTATATGTATGCCATAGGGGTGTTTACTGCACTTCACCCAAATAAAAAATTAGTAATCATTGGAATTTTCTATTGCTGTTGATTTTTTTTTTCTTCATAATTGGGACTGTATTAAAAGATTGAAAAATAAAGTACTGGTGCACAGAGGGCATACCCTCAGAATATGAAAAGAGATAGGAAACAGCAATCAGACATTAGAGAAAGCCCATTTCCCATACAAAACAAAAAATGTAGAAAATGTGCTAAAAAAGATCATGGATAGAAGCATTCTGGACATCTAACACTTCCAGCAGCAGCCGCCTAGCCACCATCTCAGGAGCTTTAGGAGATGAGCCATGAAGCCTAGCATTCCTTTCCTGAAATATCCCCCAAAGAACAGCTGCAAACAGACTCTTTAAAGATGTAGAGACATTATAATGATCACTGAACCAACAAAATAGATCCCATGTACTAGCCACCCCAGCAAACTGATCTATATCACTTGAGAACTCTACCAAACCAAGGCCACAAAGCCTGAGCAAAATGACATGACATAAACAAATGGTCTCGATTATCAACTTCTTTGTGACAGAGAGAACATCTAGCAGCCAAATTTACTTTTCTCCTCTAGTCCTCTGTAAGTTAACCATGGAAGGAAGTCTGTCAAGCATCACAAAAACAGTAGTAACAGACCATCTAGGCCTAGCCTTACCCCAACACATGTTACACCTTTCCACCTCCTCAGAAGCAAGTTTATGACAGTGCCAAAAGAGACCCGACCACCATCCCACAGAAGCTTGTCCTCACTGGCATGAATAGACACATTAGTAACATATTCTTTGAACTGGTGTAAAACATTTTCCTGTAAAAGCAGCCAATTCCAATCCCCATTAACCATCAAACAATCCAGAGTAGCATTTCTGGGAAAATGTAACCTCCTGATCAGCCCATGACCAAATTTTTGAGCAACAATCTGACCATCACACCATGGGTCAAGGAAGACAAAAAAAGACTGGACATTCCCAATTCTGAAAGTTGCGTTCTGCAGCATAATGTCCCTGACAACAACAATAGATTTCCAAATAACAGAATAGGAGTTTCTAGGAACAACATTCCAATAACTGACATTTGAGGCATATTTCTGATTAAACCAGGACACCCACAATCTATCTTTGCTTATCAAAAAATTGTAACGACTCGAACCCGTAGGTCCGAACCGTTAGCCGGGTCATTAACCGAACCCGAGGTCAACTAGGGACAACACCATTCTTTCCTTCGTCAATACATATTATACGTGTCATTCTGGGTTTATATAAAAAATAAATAAATAAATAATAATAATAAAATAAGATTATAGCTACAAAGTATGTTAAAACGGTCTACTAACCCATCGAACCCTGTGGAGGAGCGTCGTCCGCCACTTGCCATCCGTGTCCTGAAAAATGTTAATTGTAATGGGGTGAGCAAATTGCTCAGTAGGTAGTACCTAAGACCCACCTCTTGTAGCCCTGTGAATCCAAACAATGAATAGGACAATAGGGAACGTGGTCATACAAAGTCAGGAAAAAAAATACAATATACACTTTCAAGTCCAAAACAAAAGAATGCCGTGCCATGAATGCAATGTCATGCATGTCACTTCCCATTTTAGAAAACATCCATCACTTCACAAACTGTTAATATAACCCGTCCTTTGGTGATTCCGCAGCGACACGAGAGAAGGATTGGCTACTATCCTTGACCCTCGGGGTACCCCCGCAGCTTCATTTTGGACCCATATAGCTCAACCACACTGGGGCAATTTCCCTAGTTCCCTCTAGGCTATATTAACACAGTGGCTCTTTGGTGACTCTGCGGCGACCGGGTTTTCTCAAAACTATTTTCTCAAATTTCTCCCCAAAATCCCCTTTTTAATTTCATTTCAAAACACTTCCCCTTTTCTTTCATGCCCAATGCTTGTATGCATATCACGTATCTTTTTAATATTATGGAAATGGAGAGAATTATTGTCACACAATTAACATACTTCCATATAAAATTTCTAATAAATTATTAAGTATCATAGGCATAGAAAATTAACACATTATGCATACTTTCCAAGTAAATCAACAAATACACATAATTACATGGTTCATATACTCAATTAAATCATCTAAGGAACAATCAATTCAATTTAATCATGCTTGACAACAATTAAAATAGAAAAACTCACAAAGGAATAAGAATTTGAGTATTAGAGACCCCTACCTCACTAGTTGAAGAAAACCCCAATTCAGCCCAAGAAATTCGAAATCCCAAGTGCTCCAAATTAAAAATTGCTTCCGATTAATATAAAACCCATGACGAGCTCTTCAACTTTGCCTTAAGTGGCAAAGTCTAAATCTTAACGGTTTGGGAGAAATCAAGCTTTGAATGGCAAAAGAAAAAAATATAGACGGAGAGGGAGAGAGAACGTAACAGAGAGGAGAGAAATTGAGATCTGCAGATGACTTAAGGGTCATCTAAATGATAAAAAGAAGGTGGGTCCCACAGCTTTCTAGATAAATATCTTTAACTTATATATATATAAAGGTACATACACACAATATAATGGCAAAAAAAAATCCACTAACAGAACAAATCTTACCACACAAATATCTCTCTTTACATTCATCAAGTGCAAAAACCCAAAGTCAAAGAAAATATGCCCAAAAAGTCTCGTGGGCCCCGCACCATCATATCTTTCCATTTCTCTTTACTTTTTCGGCAGCAGGTATACATATATTTCATGTATATATATATATATATATATATATATATATACATGAAACAAAAACAACCAAACCTATCATAAAATCAAGTGGGACCTGCAATAATGAACCATCACCAATTCATTCCCCCCCCCCCCAATTCGGCTGCTCCCTTTTTGCTTCCATCAGATGCGAACAAATATATATATATATATACAAAATGCAAATCAACCATTACATATCTTTCTCATCCTTATCTTTCTTTTTCTTTTCATATACAAATAATACATTATCAATTCAAACCCATCCAAAAATCTTGTGGGACCCGCTATCACATTACCATTATAATCTATCTTTCTCTCTACAATTTCACCTAGTGCATCTCCCTCCTCTGATACACTATATATATATATATTTACACAATGCACCAAGTCAATAACCCATTAAAATCTCCAGTGGGCCCCATGAAAACATTATCACCATTATCACATATATATCTTATTTTCCTTATTTTCGGCTCTTGCAACTGATACACCATATATATATAAATGTAACCAAACCAAATCCAACCCCATTAAATGGCTTAATTGGGTAAATCTCCAACCATAATCAAATAATTAATTATGACAACCAAAAAAATAATAATAAAATAAATTAAAAACCTAAAAAATCCGAGTTGTCACAAAAATCCCAGGCAGGAACACACTTAGAAGCTACTTGAATGTCCACCAATTTTCTTAGACCTAAACGTTCCTCAGCTTTAGTTCTGTTGATGATTTTCTTGCTCTTTGCACTATGGAGAACATGATGAATTCAGGAAAATTCTTATGTTAATATAGGACATGATATCATTTTCAAATAATTGTGTACATATATTGACGGAGTATTATCTAAGACAAATATATAGTTCTCATTAAAAATTTTAATGGTTCCCCATCGGGGTTTTTTGGCAGTTCTCGTGGCTTGAGGCAAGGGGACCCCCTATCCCCTTTCTTGTTTATTATTGTTATGGAGGCTCTTAGCAGGCTGATGAGGAGGGTTGTGACCTTAGGTCTTATACGAGGCTTCAAGATTGGTCCAGAGGCAGTCCATCAATAGGAGATTTCTCATTTGCTGTTTGCGGATGACACTTTGGTTTTTTGTGAGGCAGAGGTGTCCTAATTAAGATATTCGAGATGTGTTCTGGTTTGTTTTCAGGCTGTATCTGGTTTGAGAATCAACGTGGGTAAGAGTGTGCTTGTCCCTGTGGGGGAGGTTCAGGAGTTGGCTTCTCTTGCAGCTGTCCTTGGTTGTAGGACGAGTTCCTTCCCAATTTCTTATTTGGGCTACCTTTGGGCGTCTCCTCAAGGAGGGCAGGAAGTTGGGACCCGGTTATTGAGTGTTTCGAGAGAAGATTGGTTGGGTGGAAGAAGTAATATCTCTTGAAGGGACGAAAAGTTACATTGGTAAAAAGTGTTTTGTCCAGTCTTCCAACTTATTTTCTCTCTCTTTTCCAGATTCCCTCTTTTGTTGTTAGGAGACTTGAGATGATTCAACGTAATTTTCTTTGGGGCGATAGGGGGGAGGAGTTCAAATATCATCTTGTTCGGTGGGAGCAGGTTTGCAGGCCTTTAAGTCGGGAGGCCTTGGGATTCGGAGACTGGCCCCTTTCAACAGGGCTCTTCTTGGCAAGTGGCTTTGGAGGTTCGGCAGTGAAAGGCATAGATTATGGAGGAGGATCGTTGCTTGTCCGTTTGGGGAGGAGAGAGGGGATTGGTCTGCTAGATCGGCTAGATCTGCTATCGGCATGGTCATGTGGCATTCCATTGGGAAGGGTTGGGATGAGTTTTCTAAGCATATTAGATATAGAGTTCGGGAAGGTCGGATTACTGTGGATAGTCATGCTTTGGTTGCCGACTGCTATCGCCTTGATAGCGTTAGGTTGTCTTGGGATGTTCAGTTCCAGCGAGCCTTTTAGGATTGGGAGCTGGATGATGTTATTGGCTTGTTAGATCTTTTGTATCGACAGGAGGTGGATGGTATTGGGGCGGATCTCTTGACTTGGGTGCCTTCTTCGCAAGGGACTTTTCAGGTCCGGTCTTTCTTTTTCTGTCTTTCTGGTTTTCAGGCCTCTTCTTACCCATGGAAAACGGTTTGGCTTTCGAAAGCTCCTCTTAGGGTGGCTTTCTTTGTTTGGACTGCTGCTTGGGGTAAGATCTTGACTCTGGACAACTTAAGGAAGAGAAGACATATCATTGTTAATCGATGTTGTCTGTGTTTGACCGATGGAGAGTCTGTGGACCACCTTCTCTTGCACTACCCAGTGGCCCATGACTATTGGAGCCTTATGTTGGGTCTTTTTTGCGTCCAGTGGGTTATGCCTTGGAACTCTCGGGGTCTTATTGATATTTGGAGGGGGCAGAGGGTGGGGGCTCGTGTTCGCGATTTCTGGAGGGCGACTTCTCTTTGCATTTGGTGGTGCCTTTGGAAAGAACGTAATAGAAGATCCTTTGTTGGGGAGGAGTTACACATTGGGCTTTTAAAGTACTCTATTATTTGCTTTCTTTTTAGTTGGGGTATGGGGAGAGATCGTTCTTCGGTTGACGAGATCATGGACTTTTGGGGATCTTTGGGTCCATAGGTCTTCCCTTTTTTTCCTTTTGTTCTTGATTCTTGTACAGCTCTAGGGATGCGTTCCTCTTTTGAACGCTTTCTAATACATTTCTACTTATCAAAAAAAAGAAAAAAAAAGAAAAAAGAAAAAAAAGAAGAGATTATATTATATGTACGATTATTCTCTTACTCTATTTGTGTCTATTTTGTCTTATATTATTATATTATATGTGCCATTATTCTTTGACTGTATTTGTGTCTATTTTGGCTTATATTCAGAACTGTTGATTGCGTGCTTGACCTATACAGTCATGTGTCCTATGTTAGATTTTATAACAGCAGGGAAATGTTGGTCATTTTGAGGCTGTCTATCTTGTTTTTAGTAGTCTCAGACTTTGCGTATTATAAGTTGTGTTTCTGCAAAAGAATCATGTTTTGGGACCTGGGAAGCTTACTAGACATGTCTAAGAATATCATGACATGTGTCTGACATGAGCACAACATCTTCAGAGAAGTGTCTGTCCTTGTAGCATCTTTTACCCAACTAACAAATTGTTTTAGAATTCAATAATTTTTAAAAAATAGAGTTGTGCTTCAAGATAGGAGTGCATACCTTTTCTAATTTCCTCATTGTACAGAGTCATCTTTCTCTAATATGATTATTGGTGTTCTATCATAGGTCCATAACCATGTTAAGAACTTTGCCACATAAGTAATATTTGAAGTCTTTTAGGAACAACACAGTTGTACTGTCATCATATCAGTGGTTAACATGTTGATTATGTTGACAGCCCTGTTACAATTATTCTTAAAACGTCTTTTATATTTATTCTTGGTACCTTCACCTCCTTTATGTAGAATTTGGCTCCTTTCTTGTTTCTGTAGTCCATAATGTTATGTTGCAAGTATCTCTGATGCCCTATTTTTAAGTAAAAGGTTTTTTTTTTTTTTTTTTTTTTTTTTTTTTTTTTTTTTTTTTTTTAAGGTTTCTGATGCAGACCGGTTATTTAGATATGTTTGTCCATACTTGATTCAACATTTACTGCTTGTGGTGTTTCCTCTCCAGATTTCTAGTGCAGAATTTGCCTTGGTACAAAGTGTCCAAGATAATGCCAATTTACGCTCCAAGATTGTTCAATCACCTGAAAAGCTACAGGTACCTATTTTTATCTCATTAAGTGACAACATTAATTCACCATTATGTGCTACAATGTTGCCAATTATATTTAAATATATAGTTTAGTCATTAGTGAAGCTTTGATAGCCATGTTAGATGCAGTTAGTTACAAGTAAAAGGCCTTTTTTTAAAAGTTCAGTTTGCATAGAAAAAACAATATAGAAAGCGTAGTGTTACGTAACTACAATGGTAGTCCTCAATATATTAATCAGGCCACAGTAAATCTAGAAGCAAGATTAAGAGGCATCTAAGGATAATTTGTGCCCTGTTTTAGCAAATATACTGGTTAGTTCAAGTAACTCGTATCTAGTTGTTATAGAAGCTAACTTTTCCCCCCATATCTAATCATGGATTCAAATCGAATCATGCTGATACTTTTACTGGTACCACTGGGAATTGAAAACGTGAACAAAACATTAATCAACCCCAATTGGTTATGCATATAAGCTTGTAAACATGACTGTGGTCTTTGTCTCACCTCCGATTTTCCGACCTTTTCAATTCTAAACATGGAGACTGTAATCTTGTCTGTTGAGAGGGGAACCGTTATGTAATTTATCTCAAGTGATCTGATGGAAAGGAGCAGAAATAAAACCAAAATCCTTTTGACCGCAAATATGAAACAGATTTTCCCAAGGAGTGGAGGTGTAAATAATATAATTTTAAATATATAGAAACTGAGGAAAACAAAAAGGCAAGAAGATGGACATTAATTGTGGTAAGTAGAAATTAATCCAGTTAGCAGCCACATTAATTGATTCAGATCATGCTCTGCAATGTACAAGAGAAAATGTTAAATAGTATATGTAAGACATTGGATTTCCCAAGGGGCATAGGAATATGTTGTTGGGTTAAACACGAGGTTTCTCACATGTTGACCTTGAAGCAAATTAAGTGGAAATTGGTGTTTCCATTTAGGTGTTTGGCATGCAAGTATCGTGTCTCTAACATGGCTATAAAATAGTTAAAATATGACTTTCCTTGTCATTTGCCAATTATTACACCGATTCTTTCTTTACTGGGAATTTATGGTCAGTCCCTCATAGTCTCTCTCTCTCTTCTTCTTCCATATTTATTTATTTTTTTAATTTCTAGGATTATGCCTAATTCATGTTTAGTATATAAGCAGTAGCATGCGTTCCAATGCTGGTTTTTGTGTTGAAATATTGAACATTAGCCTGGTATTTCTAAATTACATATTTACATCTTAAAGTGAGTGCAAATTGTTTATAAACCAAAATGCTCTAGAATCTTTTAGTTGATGGTCTTTCACTTTAATTTTTTGGGGTTTGATGTTCATTTTCAACACTATCTATGTATTATTGTGGATTTTTTTTTTTGCTTCTCTTATTTTTATTCTTTCTTTTCTTGGCCAATGATCTAGATGGTAAATGCTTTCATGACACATGACTATCATTTGTAAAAATATATTTATAATTGTTTCCTCTGTATTTGCCAAATTGATAAGTGCCAGTTAGCTTACATGGAGGAATATTTTTACTTCCATTCAAGGAGCGATGATTTTTATTCCTGATTGCATATGACTGGTCTTTTTAAGGAACAGTGATATGACGCTTGTTTCATTGTTATCCTCCTTTGATTCAACAATATATATTTAAATGTTATGTATAGCAATTAAATGAGTGTAGTCAAAATGTAGAAGTTGATATGGGTGGGTGCTAAGGCAAGAAAAGGATAAAATAAAAATGAATCGTATATGATATGGCAGAAGTAGCACCTCTTGGTAAATGAATGAGAGAAAATCAAATCACATGGTTTAACTCCATAAAAGGAAGACCATTAAATGCATTAGTGAAGAAGTGTGACGTAATCCATATTAAGGGTATTGTTGGTAGGAGGAGAAGGCTATTAACATAGGTTGAGAAAGATTTGACTCTGCGTGAATTGGCTAATATTACGGTCTTACACAGAACAGAATAGTAAAACAAGTTCATATGAAATTACCTTAATAGTTAGGAAAAAATTAGTTTTGTTGAGTTGGTTCCCTCAAGTAGACTTAACGAGCCTTAGTTTCAGACTATTTGGGGTTATGGAACTTTCTCCAATCATCTCTTTGTTAGGCACCAAAGGACCAAATGGCCTAGCGCTATCACCCCTTCCTTTCTAAAGGGAGGTCGGGGGTTCGAACCTCGGTGGAGGTAGGGTGTGTGCGTAATTGCTTTAACTTCCAAAAAAAAAAAAAAAAAATATCTCTTTGTTAGGCCATATTTGAATAAATTCAATGTGTATATATATATATATATATTTTATGACATTGGCTAGAGAATTTTCTGTTACGTGAGCGACATTCATGCAATAGTTTCCTTTTCTCTTTATTTTTTATTCTCTATGCGGTTGTTTCCATTATTTTCTGACTTCAATTAATTCTTATATCTTTATTCTCTCTAATCTTGTGTGTGTGTGTGTGTGTGCATGTTTCTTTTGAAAACAGAGGGCATTAGAGGAGAAGAAAACAGTTCGAGATGAGGCAAAGAATACTGAAAAGGCAGCTATGCAAACTTTTCAGGAGAAGACAGCTACTGTTGAGGTTTATACCAAGGTATTCTGTTATAAACTATTCTTGTAACCATTTATGTGGCATGTCTCACTGAATTGTTAGAAAGAATTAGCCCATTATTATTATTTTCTATTTATTTATTTTATGTATGCAACTGATAACACATATCTTAGTGTAACTTTGCTTGTTCAAAAGGTGTTTGAATGCCTTAATTTTCATACAGTGAGAAGTTTTCTTTTGTTTGTTTTCTTGAGGATTGATGATTAAAGTTTAGCTTACTAATTTTTATATTTTTCTAACTTAGCATATGGTTTTCACCTGCAATTGCCATAGTCCCATCAATTCCCATTAACTCCCATAAATTTGTTCCTATTCCTTAATTTAGTAAATTGACCAAGTTTAACTTAGGAAACTCAGTCCATTCTTATGTTAATTGAATTTTAGTTAGAGATTGTGTTTTGTTTAGATATATAACTTATCTGATTACGTGCAAGTAACTCAGTAGAAAACTAGTTCCCCACCCCCCACCTCCTCACACACACAGATGCATGCACCACGTTAAAGAAAGAGCATATACATTATTTTGCGGTTAGTGTGGGATTGCATGAATCATGTTCGCAAAATAACCATATGATTTTATGATTAATGCTGTTTGGATATGTGATTTTGGGTGGTGGCGGGGTGGGGCAGGAAGTGAAAGTCAGTTCGCTAACATCTTATAATGGTTTCAAGGTGAACTTATCAGTTGGTGTACGATTATAAATTTTTTGTTCAAAGTGTTACATTTGTAAAGTTGCATTATATAGTAATTCATTGAGGGTTGACTCATCATTCATCAAAATCAGTACTGCTCCCGGAGGAGAACAATAATACCTTGGCCATCATTTATTGAAAGTGGCATAATTAGCATGTCTATCAAATGTTTCAAAAGATTCAAGTCATTCTTTAGTGACATGCCTCCTCAAGCAAAACAATGGCAATATTGAGTGTTGTTATGCTGTGGCCCTTTGTTTTTTTGTTTTTTTTTTAAAATTTTTTATTTTATTTGTGTGTTGGTGTGTGTGATGGTATATATTCTAGAGCTTATGCTGCTTTTCAATCTACAAATTGACTTCTAATTAAAAAATAATAATAAAAATGACATTTCCTAAAATATAGTGGCTAAACAATGAAATGCATTCAGAAGCAATTGTATCAGTGATCACTTACTGCTCTATGGTTTATGGCAACTAAGTAGCATAAGATCATTGGACATAAGAGAAATTAAATTTAAAGAATCTTGCTTGAATGGCATATTAATACGTATTTAGATATCATCCACATTTCTAGTTGAAAGGATAATTGATAATAGCCTTTTGCACTTCTCTTTCTCAGGCTTATAAGAAAATGTCCAAGCAGTTTGCTCAGATGCAGGCTATACAAGAACAGGTTTGTTTATATCATGGCCAGATCTTGGTTTTTTGTGTTTGCATGAATTTGTTTGAAAGCTTTATATGTCATTCACTGTGTTGGGCGGAGAACCATGATGCAAAGTCTTTATTGTCATGATGCTCTTGTTGAATTGTTTAAATAAATTTGTCAACTATGTGATCTTTTACCCTTTTTCATGCAAGATCTTTAAAACATTTACTTAAATCAGTTACACCAACTTCCTTTTGTTCCATTATTAATCATTGGCGGACCCAGGTTTTCTTTTTGGGGCCCAAAGGCCTTATAATTCCCTCCTTTCCCAAACAGCTTTTTTCCCCCCCATCTGGTGAGTTTTAAATGCTCGATTACCCTAAAATTATGTCTTTTTTTCATTTGATTTTTGTTAGGACTGTCAATTCAGCTATCTTGTTGTCATATGCACATGTCAAGTTTGGGGCACTCGATTAATTGTTGGACAGAGCTGCTCATTAAATATGCCAATGTCTTCAATTTTTAACACTATCTGCTCATTAAACTGTTTGCATTACATGAATAACGTAACCAATTAGTGTTTAATATATCAAACAATCCATAAGAATCCAAACATAGTGTAGAGAGAGAACGCCCCAAAATTGAGATCAAACTTATTTTTTATTTATAGTGATGGAAAAATCATGCCTTTGAGGGTGACGGCATAGAGTAGAGAGAGTGTAATCCTTGAAGTCTACACAGAGTCACAGAGAATATATAGTCTTGCAGTGGGAGAATCTGATCTAATTACACTTGAAAAGTTGAGATATGAGCTTGAGCCTTGGCAGAGTTTTGAGATTTATGAGTTGTGGTGGCTAGCGTTTACTGAGCTTCAGTACATTAGGGTTTCTCATTTGTCTTTTACAAAATAATCTTGAACACAAAAATTAGTTTACGAAAATGTCCTCAGTCAGATGTGTTAAATCCTTTTTTTTTTTTTTTTTTTTTGTTTTTTTTTTGTTTGTTTGTTTGTGGTAGTCACACTGCTCATTATTGAACATTTCAAAAGGGTTGTGGTCTGAAACCCTAACATGATCAGTTTATTATTAGTGTTAATATTGTTGGCCCATTCATGATTTGAAGCTACACAAGGTTGACGCAGAACCTTTAACCCCTTGTTAGGTTTGAGTTGTGTTTGTCGGTTGTGTTAGTGCTTACCATCTCTAATTTTTGGCTATCAAAAAGTTTAAAATTTAAGAATTACTAGATATATTTTGAAGGTTGTTGACTAAAATGAAACTGTGAACAATTCTAGTTTTATATTTTCAAAATACAAAAGTATGTAATATTTTGTCTCTTGTTTTAAAGAATAGAACTTTCTGAATTATTTTAACATTTATATTATAAATGTTTGGAGATCCCTTAGTTGGGTTTGATGTCTGCTAAGGTTTTCCCTTTTGTCCCGGAAATACGAGTAGTCTAATTGCATTAGATGTATTGGTGATATTGGCACTTCTAACAGGTAAATTCTGTCAAGTCAATTGAAAAAGATGTTAAGGTTCTGAAGGTTAAGCTGAGTGATGAAGCAGTGTTAGATAAGTCGCTTGAGGTGAAACTGGTTGAATGGCAAAGGAAAGGTAACTTTTTATTCTATGTACATCTAGTTATTGTCACTGTAATTAAAATAGTTTTTTAAGTAGGAAAAGTTTTCTTCTCCAGTGGATCAGTTGGATGAATTAAGAAAGCAGGTGGGAAAAGAAAGAGATCTCAAGTGCGAGGAGGCTACAAAAGAATTGAATAATGTGAAGTTTGAAGTGGAGTTTAAGAGGCGTGACATGGAATCAGAGAAAATGAAGGTTGAAGCAGCTGTTGCAGAGGTAATGTTGTATATTTCTACTCTTCAGCAGAACCGAATTATTTTGTTCTGAAGTAGTACAGTGTATGAGTGTTCTTGTTTCTTAAACATGCCAGGCAGATGCTATAACTGCGAAGATTAATGTGGTAAAAGAATCAGGAGCAGCTAAATGTCAAGAACTAGAACGTAAATGCGAGGAGATTGCAAGAGAGGTGCACTTCTCTCTTTATGTTTATCTATTGTTCATTCCTGTATATGCTTATCTGTTAAGGAGTTGAAACTTGGTTCGATGCTTGACTCAACCAGCATTAAATTCTAGAGACTGATGGTCAGAGTTCCTAAATCATCTAAAAAAAGCTGCATTTTCTTTTTCATTTGTATCAGTGGGAAATCTACAAGCTTTTAACATTTATGTCAAAAATGCAAGCATCTTATATAACAATGTTTCCCATAGGGGCAAATGGGCGTGACTGTAAGACTAGTTTCTTGCCAATATATATATATATATATATATATATATATATATTCATAACATTGTTCTGATCTTTGAATGGACCTGTTTTTCACTGTTTGGTCAGGACTGGGATTTATGCAAAGCCAAGCTATGAACCTATTGTGCACAAATTTTTTGCTTTGTGCTGAATCACTTGAGAAACATTTACTATGTTTTTAATCATTGATGTTTGTTTCCTTCATTGATGGCGATTTCGGAGCTGAGAATTTTTTATTCTATTACTGACTGTTGTAGTTTCATCGCTACTCGAGCTCTGTTGGGAATTTGGTGTCAGGGATTTGAAATGGAGCCAGGACTCGGTCGTGGTAGGAGCTGACTTACCTAAACTTCAGTTAGTGTGTTAATGGTTAACTGCATAAACTATCCTGCTTGTTGATTGCTTTCTTGTACCCCTCTGTTCTTACAGTATGATGGAAGTCACTGATTAGCCCACTCGTGCCACTGTGTGGAGCCGGAGCAGCTAAGCAAGGTCAACAATGGCGGATATGGCCTTTTGTAAGCAAGCTCGGCGGAGTTTTGGCTGGTTCAGTGGGTACCACATTGATTGAGATCTTGTGTTTTGAAGCATGACCTAATATCCCAACATACACTTAACAGGGTGTCCAAAATTCCTTTGATTTACATGAATGTATGTAGAAAAATATATTAGGCGGGACTTTTGTAGAGCTATTATTTGTTGTCTTATTGTAACTCTCCTAAATTCCACGTGGCAAAGTTCTTAAAAGCTCGTGTAGAAATAGGTGTACATTAACAATTCTTCAATGGCATAGTGAGTAAATGATATAATTAATTCTCCAAAAACCCATGATAAATGAAACATTAACCATGATGAGGAAAACTAAGTAACCAAACATACCATACCATAATGATTAAGGTGCACACGGTTTCAGTTCTACGCGTTCCTTGTGTACCCCTAATAATGTCAATAAACGAACAGGGAGGATCTCAAATCCCTTTATTGAGGTTAAGAGTCTTTGAACACTGATGATTGGTTTCGCAAATTAGTTCAGCAAAAGTGAGAACAGAAAATCTTTGCATGGTTTATGTATCTTGGTAACGGGGTGATAGGAGCTTTAGGCGATTAATTTAAGAGTTCCTTTGGGATTGTATTTTTATTATGAAAAATTATGTTTAGATATACTTCCTTTGTCCTAAATTAAACGTTGTCTTTAAGAATTGTGACTCACATTGTGTATTTAAATTGTGAGTAGGGGAACCGAAAGGTATATTCCAAATTAATCACCGAACTTGACGTGGTCTGGCCACATCAGATTCTCACTCCTCTTCCTTTTGTGTGAGGAAGCAAAAGAGTCTATCACACAGGTAAAAAAGAAGAGAAAATTTGTACTTATCTTTTTTTTTTATTTTTTAAGAATCAACTTATCTTTGTCCTGTTATATAGTATCTTTTAAAAAAAAAATTCATAATTGATATATTTTAGAATTTAGAAATGCCAAGATTAATGTGGTAAAAGAATCAGGAGCAGCTAAATGTCAAGAACTAGATCGTAAATGCGAGGAGATTGCAAGAGAGGTGCACTTCTCTCTTTATGTTTATCTATTGTCCATTTCTGTATATGCTTATCTGTTAAGGAGTTGAAACTTGGTTCGATGCTTGACTCAACCAGCATTAAATTCTAGAGACTGATAGTCGAGTTCCTAAATCATCTAAAAAAACTATCCTGCTTGGTGATTGCTTTCTTGTACCCGTGTTCTTGCAGTATGATGGAAGTCACTGATTAGCCCACTCGTGCCACTGCGTGGAGCCGTAGCAGCTAAGCAAGGTCAACAATGGCGGATATGGCCTTCTTTTGTAAGCAAGCTCGACGGAGTTTTGGCTGGTTCAGTGGGTGTTTTCCCAACATACACTTGACAGGGTGTCCAAAATTCCTTCGATTTACATGAATGCATGCAGAAAAATATCTTAGGCAGGACTTTTGTAGAGCTATTATTTGTTATCTTATTGTAACGCCCCTAAATTCCACGTGGCAAAGTTCTTAAAAGCTCGTGTAGAACTAGGTGTACATTAACAACTATTCAATGACCTATAGCATATAAATGATATTATAATTAAGAGAAATGATTGGTCTTCTGACTTCACTTATCGACTCATTATCCGAATACAATGTGGTTGGATCACGTTGAAACTTTTAAAACAAAATCCCGTAAACATTTCTTTCTTTTCGACTCATTTCCAACTACGTTGTATTTGTAAAATGAGTCGGCAATTAAGGTCGGAAGACGTATCACTTCTTTATAATTAATTCTCCAAAAACCATGATAAATAAAACATTAAAGCAATGGGTTCTCCAAATTTAGGCTTTTCGAATTTGCTACATCATCATTTTCTATAGCCACGTTAGCGTTTTAGAATCTTCAAATTTTAGTTATCGCATATATTTTAATAGTATATTTTCGCTCTTCAAAAATATTAATATTTTTAAAAATTTTAATAAATTTTATTTTTTAACTTTTTCCTAATTGTTATATTTATAACGGCTATATTTTTCATCTTATATAAACAATTATTTGTTCATCTCTTCATCATTACATTCATCTAAATTTATTTTAGCAAAATGTCAATTTACATCTTTTTCAATCTCAAAATTCCAATGGCTTCTTCGTCATGATTTTTTCCTTTGTCAGGTTCTAACTTTTCATCAGATAATCCTATTAACGCAATGATTCAACATAATCAAGAAGCATTTCGTTCGATTTTGAATTCAATGAATCCAAAGATAATAGAGCAAGTTTTTAAACCACGTAAGAGGCGGTACATTCATCGTTATCAAGAGGGAAGCCACTGTCAACTAATGAAAGACTACTTTGACGAGAATTGCACATATCCACTGGAGTACTTTCACAGACGATAGAACTATTTCTTCATATCTTGAATGATGTTAAAGCTTATGATGACTACATCACCAAAAAAAGGATGCAACAACCGATCATTGTGACGAGTATATTAAAATCGGCGAGAGCATTGCCATTGAAACCCTGATGACATTTTGTAAGGCTGTTATTGGTGTGTATAGGGAATAGTACATGCGCCCACCCAACGAAGCCGACAAAGCACTACTACTTCGAGAAGGGGAGGAGAGAGGATTCCTGGGTATGCTTGGTTTTATTGACTGTATGCATTGGGAGTGGAAGAATTGTTCGGTGGTATGGCATGGCACACACAAAAGACGCTCTCATACGCCTACGCTTATATTGGAGGCAGTTGCCTCAAAAGATTTATAGATCTGGCATGCATTCTTTGGAATGCCAGGTTAATATAATGATATTTATGTGCTGGATCATTCTCTGGTATTCAACAGTATCGTTACTGGTCAAATTCCTCCGATTAATTTCGTTGTGAATGGTTATTACCATAGAATGGGGTATTACCTATCTGATGGTATATATCCTAAGTGAGTAACTTTGATGCAGACCATTCCGCACCCAACTCCAGCAAAAAAAAAAAAAAAAACTTTTTGCTCAGACATAAGAGGTCTGTAGGAAAGATGTGGAATGAGCTTTTGGGGTCTTGCAGAGCAAGTGGGCAATAACACAAGGATCAGTGCGTTTTTGGGATAAAGGGGACTTGTGCTTTATAATGAAAACGTGCATCATCCTTCACAACATGATCATTGAAGATGAGCGCCATGCCAATGTTGGAAGATGGACTCCGCCACCGGAGGAGACAATCTCGATTTCCATTTTAATTCAAAATCTATCAGTCTTAGCGGCACATATCTACTCTCGCCAAGTCCAAATTCACAACAAAGAGACAAATATGTGGTTGAGGAAAAATTTAATTGAAAATTTGTGGAACCGCTTTGATAAAGAAAGTGTTTAATTTATGTTGCATTATTTATTTTTAAATTGTTATGAAGTTTATGTAATGGAATATTTATTGTGTAATGTTTTATTTTGAAATAAATAATTAAATTGTTTGTTGATTAAATTATTTAGCCAATATGTATAAAATCTTGTAAACAATACAATATCTAATCTCATTTGATTTATTAATTTATAGTGAAAACAAAGACACATGCATTTTTTTTTTTTAAAAAAAAAATCATATTTTAAAATAAATTTCAATTTGTTAAGGAAAATAAATAAAAAGAATTGTTTGGTTGGTCAATATAGCAGTTAAGGCACTGTTTGGGTCAGTCAAACAATTCCTAAAACGGCTATAATGTTAATAGGAAACATTGAAAAATTTGAAAAGGAAATAAAATCACTTTTTTTCAATTTTTTAAAACTTTTTTTTGCCCAAAAAAACTTTTAAGGCACTGTTTGTGTCAGCCAAATAGTGCCTTAATAGTTCTTTGGTTCAATTATTTTGAGGAAAAAAAAAGGAAAAAAAGAGAGACCAAAATAAGCCAAAAAAACTGATTTTTAGCTTTTATTTCAACTAAACATGTTTTTAGGAACAATGTTCTGGTCCTGAATTAAAAAAAATAAAAGAAAACAGAAGCTGACCCACAGAAGTGGGCCTTTAATCGCCTTCGACCTGTTTGGAGACCCAAAAATTGTGGCCCACAAACAGATAGGCCAATGGAGTAACTGGTCTCCAATATTTGGCCCAAAATCGCTCTAAGCAGCACAAATGGAGTTGCTTTTACTCATGATGAGGAAAGCTATGTAAGTAACCAAACATAACATACCATACCATAATGTATGTGCACATGGTTCTGGTCCCAACAGTTCTTAGGAATCGGAATCGAACCTGTTCTGGTTTCATTATTATATATATTTCTTTTATATGCATCAAAAGATATATTTATTAGTAATTATATAATTAAAAATATAATATTTATAATTATTATACGATTTCAGTTCCAGTCTGGAACCAGAATTATTCCCAATTGTTCTTAAAAATTAAAACCGGAACTGGAACTATTAGGAAGCACCGGTTCGGTTTTACCTGTTCTTTGTGTACCCCAAATAACCTATATCTATATCTATTGATTTGTGTAGATAATTTATATCTATCTATCTACATCTACACTATTCTAAAAGTGTAAAGAAGTTCTTACCATTTTTTATTTTTTTTAAATAAAAAATATGATATTAAAAGAGAGTAATTAATTTAAAATTTAAATTCACTTTAAATATGAAGAGAATATTTAATATAGAAGCTAAAGGACCAATTTTCAATTTCAAATTTTGCTCATTTTTTAAAGTTTCAATTTTTGTTCATTGTTTAAAGATAATGCAAGTCATCATTTATGATCAAATTAAATCAACAAATCTCCCAATAAGAAGGCTGTGTGGTCTATATATTATATATCCCTTAATGGGTGGACCAAACCAAATTCGACTTTTTTTTAGTATTTTCTTTTCTTGTTTTATATTGACGTAGTTTATTTAGTCTATTGTGATTTCAATTTTTTTTAAATAAAAAAAAATATGAAATTGAAAAAATAGTATTTAATACTCTCTCCGTCCCATAATAACGGTCCATCTTTCATTTTTGGGTTGTCCCAAAATACTTGTCCACTTACCAAATTTAAACAATATATTTCACATCTTTTCATAAAAGACCCTTAAAATTTAAAAAAAATTCAAACTTGATTATAGATATATATATATATATTTAAACTTGAAAGGGTAGTTTTGTAATTTTTGAGGGGGGCAATGCAATAATTACATGTCCCTTAAAAAGTTCTACTCCCCAAAATGAACATCTAATATGGATCGGAGGAAGTATAGAATTTGAAGAGGCAACCTTCCAATTTCAATTTTTATTCATTCTTTAAGGATGATACACCAATGGACCATTTTAATTATTGTACTAATTGTTGCTTCATTATTCAAATTTCAATTATATTTGAAAATTTAATTAATTTTATGATTGTATTTTCATTTCTAACTTATGCAATCTCCATTGCAAACCTTCGTGTTGTTATTCATAGTTTATTTCCTTGGATGTTATATTTTATTTTGATTCTCTTGGACATAAATGTTGTCTTTATGACTAGCTGAAAGGAAAAAACAACTGCAGTTTCATTGCAAGAGATAAAAATATCATGAGACATGATTGAAATAATACAAAAATTACAAAAACCTCTTGCAAAGAGCTAGAAAATGTTAGTTTCTTTTGCTTCTATGTTGATACAATAATTTTTATTCACGAAAAAAAAAGAAGGTATAAAAAAAGTGGTTCTTTTGGAGAACCGTGACAGTTCAATTTGTGAGAGTCACGATTTCCTAAAAGTGACATTTTTATAGGACGGAGGGAGTAATATTCTTCTTTCCTTTTTAAAGTAAAATATATTGGGCTCATATTGACATTTCATTTGTTTAAAAGGTAATAAAATGAAGAAAAAAAAATGTTTGAATCATTGGCTGATTATATATGTATCCTAGATTTTAGAATCAAAATTGGGAAATTTTGTTCTGTTTTTTTCTTTCTTTATTAATTTTTCATGTGCTCATATAAATCACATTACATCAAGATTGGAGATATATATATATATATATATATATATATATATATATATATATTCGGTAATTTAGATGGAGATATATAAATGTTTTAAGAACAAAACAAGAGTACAACGAGAAACAATTTGAGCCCTAATCAGATACCTGAGTTTCTCGATCTGGTGGATAATGAATAATGTAAGCTGACTGGGCTCCCTATGTGGGCCTACTGTACCTTTGTTCATATTTATATATTTGCTTAATCTTTTAAAAAATAATAATAATAATAGAAAATTGGATAACTCACTCTTATTCATGTCTTCTGCCTTGGATTAACGAGTTTTAAACACTGAAGAAATTTAAAGGAAAAACAGAAACAATCGATTTTGCAAACCTGAAAATTTATTAATGAAAACTGGGTACAAGTTGGGGAGTAGTGAGATCTGAGAAATTACGGGCTACAATAACTGCTGAAAACAAATTTGATACTAAAAAGCAAGTACAGTAGAGACTTCTTCATTCTTCAATTCCTTCATATATATATACTTCTCTGACAACAGATCATTCCTTCAGAAATTTTCACTTATCCCATGTTTTTCTTTCACTAAGCTTTCTTTTCTCTGTCACTAACTATCCCAATGAAATTCTCTATGGTTAAATTTAAATAAAATTGCCAGATAAAAAAGATATCCCAAGCCGCCAAAGAACGCAACGGCTATTGCAAAGCCTATAACCATGCACACTCCCATAACAAATAAGATGATAGCTTGGCGCCCTCCCCAAAGGAAGAAGTCTATAGTGTTGTGTGTAAAGTCAACAGCGTTGCGTGTAAACCTCCTTAGGTCATTTTTAAACTCAACAGCTACTGCAAGGTATGCTTCCATGAACCAACTTAAAGCATTTACAAGAAAGAGGCAACAAATGACGATTACACTGATAGCGAGCACCAATGAATCCCCCAACACAACATAAAGGCCGGTCATGAACGCGACCACCATTGCTCCAATTGCACATATAATGGTTGCAAGTGCGTTGCCATAGCCATTACCACGCTTATCTTCATCTTCATAAGTGGAGGCAGATATGTGTGTAATTACAGCTTTAATGGACAAGATCATAGCAATGGTATCCGCCACAACAAATACTTTGAAAGCTACTTGTTTTATTAAAACTGCCATACCTTGATTTGCCCCATCGTTGCCATCGTAGCCACCTGGTAGGGTGAAACCAGCTGCAAAGGCTACCGTCGCTATAAGTGTAGCTACTATCAAATTGTTGTCCGAAATTTTGCTAATAAACCTTTTCAATGGAGCACTAGGGCCTTCGTTTCCGTTGCCCAATTTGAATTTGTTTCTGCAACCCACCTCTGGTACCTGCGATTTTCTTCTTTGTTCAATTTGAAAACAGCAGTGCTGATTCTATTGCTAAAATTTCCCAACCATCCATGTAATGAAAATTTGAGCAACTACAATATTAATACAACTTAATACAAGGCACTTTCACCTGTAAATTCACACCTTATAATATATCAAGATCGATGTATTGCCACAACACTTACGATTTAACAACTATGACATGAACTTTTGTGCGAGTGTCCTCTTGTGACAAGCTTGTTGGGAAACGTGCAAATTTTTAAAACTTTTTGAGGGATTTGCAATCATAGATCTTGATTCATTACATGGAGACAAGTTTTATGCAAAGATAGATAAAAGATGATGCATAATTCAATAAACAGATTGAATACTCACATCAAAGGTCTGAGTAAACCTTTTGAACTTTCCTCTAAAGTGAATGTTCTCACTTATTGTAGATCCCTTTAGCAAGATCCTTTCTCCTTCTTTTTGATTATTATCTTCCCTTTGGGAATCACCAATATGCCTTGATGAATGACCTTGGAATCTAGGCTGGTGGTAGCCTCCTTTAGAAGAGAAACAAAACCCTAAAATCTAGAGAGAGAAAGTGTATTCCTTTTTCTTGTTCTCCAAGTCACACCTAAAATATACATGAACTCATGTATATATAGGCAAAATAAAATAAGAATAAGGAAACAATAAATCATTCTCCATCTCTAATTCAACTTTCTCAATCCTAACATGACTCCAATATCAACTTGGGCTATTGGTGAGAATCCTTTTGGGCTTACTATTTTCTTGGCTCTTATAAATTAATAATTGGTCCGGTCCATTAAACCATGGACCCAATTCAATTAATTCATAAATTAATTTCTACTCCACTAAAAGAAATTAATTGCACTCCAATTAAATAGTAAATAACCTCTAAGTCAATGTTGCACTTTGACCCCTCTATGCTTAATTATTTATCGGATAATTAAAGCCATCAATCCGACAACATAATTAATATAATTATTTTGTTACCTTTGATTATTTCCGGCTCGATCACAATAAAATATTTATTTGACAAAAAATAATAATAATTTATTAAATAAATATATATATAAAACATTTGTCTAAAACATACGAAGGCCTTCGAATTTAATTTGTGATCAACCATAATCAAAACAAAATAAATACAAATAGCACTGATGCAAATATTGAGAATATAGACCTCTAATTATTAATTACATAACTACCCAAAGTGTCGATCTAAGGATCCCGAGGTATCCGCCGAGCAAATCAAAGTAATTATTAATTAATAAAAGAGTCTATACTTCTCTCATGCTTGAGAGTCAAAAGCCATGACTGTGATAGAGAGCAATTGCATACGACAGCTCTCGCAATATATCTCAATCTATCGTGGACTCGGTTTAAGTCTTAACTAATTAAATGTCCATCCATAATTACCGACTTTAAACCATTTATGATTACTAATTTATATCATAGTATTAATTGCCATTACATACATATATAAATATATTTTGTAATCAAGCGGACACCATCAATTCCATAAAGAATCGAAAAATAATACATTCCATTCACCAATTGTATAATGCTTTAATAATAATATCCAGACAAGAAACCATGACTTCTACAATCCAAAATTAGAATTTGCTATGCTAGGGCACACATATCCTAACAAAGCTATATATATATATATATATATATATAGAACAAATTTACTTTAACCACTAAACTGCATTTCTAATCCAATTGCACAACAAAAAAAATGAACAAAACATCCATAAACTGTTTACCTACAGGGACCTCCTACAGGCTGCACATGCAGCTTGCTTTTAGAAAATATAATTCCTAATATCTAAGCAATTAGGCAAGGTATCATATTTAGCATGTATTCATGTAATGAATTTTTTTTCATATTATTGACTAGGTACCATCCTTACCTGGTCTGGATACGTGTCACCATATACTGCTTCTAGTGCAGTCAAATTTTTCTTGTTGAAGGCCATTCTATCCACTCTAGGGTCATCTTTGAGACGGTACTTGTGATAATCGGATTTAGCACAAAGTAAATGAAGAGGTGTGTTTCCATCATTGTCTTTCTGATTTATGAGGCTGTTGGAGAAGGAATTTGCTAAGATATATCTGATTACCACCTTCTGCTCATGTACCACTGCAATGTGAAGGATATTATGGCCTTTAATATTGGTCATTTCGTAGCAATCTGGATGGCACGATAATAGTTCTTTCATGACATTTATATGACCTTGACTAGCTGCTATATGAAGAGCGGTCCTATTGTCATCCTTCTCTGCAACAACGTATGCCACGGACTTATCCAGATCAAGCAGTTGTTTAACCGCTACGACATTGCCATTCCATGCAGCATAGTGAAGTGGACTCCATCCATATACATCAGCTTCCTTGATTAGTGATGGCTTCGAGCGGTGTAAACGTTCTATGCATTCTGAAAAAGTTCATTATGTTAGCAACCCATACTAGCTAGTAAAACTAAAACACTTCAGAAATTGCTTGATCCTTACTAAAACATAATAATTCAGATTTTTAATTAATTTTATTTATATTTATTTTCTATACTTTCATGACAAAATATAACCACTGCAAATTAAAAACTGGGACTCCCGGCACAAAACTAAACTGTGTTAATCTCACACATTTGAGGATCTATTTTTTTATTTTCCTACCTCTAAACTAGCAAAACAGATGAAAAAAATATTTAGTTATAGTAACTACCTTTGTCATAAGAAATTGTAGCCGCATGTAAAGCTGTTCGTCCATTTGGACCAATGCAAGCTTGTGGGGTGATACTTTCCAAAATTTTGAACACAATAGATCGATAACCTTTTTCGGCAGCCAAGTAAAGTGGAGTTTCCTTGACATTGTTGGGTGGATGTAAGAACTTGAGGTCTTCTCTAATCAAAATGGCAACCACATCAAATTTATTATTTCGCACCGCCTCGTACAAGGCCGTCTCATTCTCCACATTCCTCATCCTAAGCATCTCCTTAGTGGCTCCACTCTCGCTTTCAGGGTCCTCTTCTAATGATTTCGCAAAATCAATGAGTGCTTGTACTGTGGCCGTGTGTCCTTCCCTTGCTGAAATGTGAAGTGAAGTCTCATCTTTGATATTCACAGAACAAAGCAGTGACCGGCCGCACTTCAAGATCTCTTTCACACATTGTGCTTGGCCGAACTGAGCTGCGATGTGGAGGACTGTGTTTTTGTTGGGGGTCACTTGGACTTCAAGTTGAACAACTTTTTGCTTCAGGACATCAACATTTCCCTCTTTGGCTGCATTGTATAAGATTGGATCCATAGTGATATGCGACCGGTTTCTGCTTGGCCTCAGTTTTCAGCTGAAGTTCTGTCCATTTATTGAGTTGCCCAGTTGACTTTGGGCACCGTCGTTGTTACAACTTGTTGAATTTTAAAGAACACAACCTAAAAAACACATAAAAAAATTAATTAAAAAAACAACTTGTTGAATAGAAGCATTTTATACAACCAACTGAAAAAGGGACACTTTGAAGTAGCTAGGTCCACAAAAAATAAAGCCGTACATCATAAAAAATGCTAGAAATTAAATAGCTGGAGCACATGAATAGATCCGTGAAAATGAAGGTTAAGATCTCATCAAGACTTGGTTCAAATTGCAACGACTTGAGGGGAAGCTGAGTTATATTCTTAATGCAACCAGATTTAAAAGGCCACAAGGAATCTTAATCTAACGTAAGAAATAGATTCTTGAAAGGTTAGATAGATGCTTAAAAAATTCCCCCACAATGCTAGGATTACGATGGATCTAGGAATTCATATGGGGGAATTTATATACATGAGTTTTTTCATAAATTCAGTGGGGCAATTTCAAAATTTTTTGAGTATAATTGCAAAAACATATAAATTTAGGGATGCAAAATACTATAATAAAAAATTTCAGTGACGGCGGATGCCCCCACTGAGCCCTTCACAGAACTGCCCCTGCTAAGGTATTTAAGTAAATTACTTAATTATACCATTATCAGTCCTTTTGTTAATTAATTGTAAGCTTTTAAAGATAGGCTTTTCTTACTTCAAAGTTCCATCATATGATGATTTTTTTATTAATTTTTCTTTAAGGGTCGTTAGGTTAGTGTCAAGTGATCAGAAAGGAAAAGAAAAGAGAAAAAAAATTAGTTTGGTTAAAGGAAAAGTGAAAGAAAAAAATTTTCCAAAATTTTTAGCACATTAAACACACTGAAAACTCACTTTTTCTTAAAAGTTGTGCACTTCATATATTATTTTTCTATTATATCCATGAATGTTGTCTCTCTTCATTGAGTTTTTTTCTTAGGTAAATTGCTTATTTATAGAATCATATATTACTTACTAATTTAATTATTTGTATGTGCATCCAAAATTAATTAAATTTTTTTTCTTTCATTATTGAATTATTATTATTAATATTATTATTATTTTCTGAGGGTCTGAAATTCGTTAGATATTTTTTTTCTATAATTAATAATAACTAAGAGTTATTATATATATAAACAAATATTTGTTAATAGCAGGTGAAAATTAAGTTTGTGCTGGGATAATTTGTCAATGACTTTTAATTTTCTCATTCTCAGTGCCTCTGAGAAAGTCAGAAAGTAGTAAGTAAATATAATTATATATATAGTATATAATTACATCATTTACAAATAAATAATAAAAATAAATCTAACATAAGGAGAAAACGAATACTTAGAACTCCACTTTACCAAAAGTTTATTATTTTCTCATCCTCAAAAATAAAAGATCCAGGATTTAAGGGACAGGTTAATAAATATAAACATAGAGGAGAATGCAAAAAATTGTATCATTATATTACATGCTATTCTATTCCATATTTCACTATTTCCTTGCTAAAATAAATAATTAAGTATAAATAATATTTATCTAACACAAAATTATTTATTATTTAAAATTATAAGGATATTTTCGGTAAGTAGAATTATTATTATTATTATTATTTTTGTTTTCAACCAAATAATATTTTTTTACAATTTTTTTTCAAAAAAATTCATGTTAACCAAATGCATGATAGAAACTTTGATTTCTTTTCTTTCACTTTCACTTTCCATCAAAAAATTTCGTCTAACCAAGCGGACCTTAAAAGTAATATAAAGAGTATTTCCTATGAAAATCTATGGATAAAATAAATGGTATAGCATGTGTTGTGGATTATTTTATCATAAATAGTTAAATATTTTTAACAAATATTATTGTTACAATAGTAATGATAGAGAGTCGGTTCAATTAAATTTATGTAAGTTACTGTTGATGTGATCATGGCATCATGGATAGAGTCGGTTCAATTAAATTTATGTAAGTTACTGTTGATGTGATCATGGCATCATGGATATTAATGACATTTAAATTAGTCGGAATTATTTGACTTTGAAACTCTAAAAATTATTCTTATAACTTGTTGCTAATGAAAAAAATTATTTATCTGGTAAAAAAATTACCCTCTGAATCTACCTTGGATTTATTTTTTTAATTATTAATATTTTTTAACTTTTTTTTTTTTTCCTTGGCAAAATATGTAAAGTCTGGTAATTTTGCCTCTCCGTATCTATTTAAAAGGTTGCATCTTACTTGCTTATGGTTACATGAACCGTAATAGAAAGACTTTAATGTAAGGTATTTTATCCCCTGGGCTTGCTATTAACTACTTTAACATATTCATGTGTTTCTAATATTAAAAAAATTAATTAGCTTTTTTTGACTAAGCTTATGAGGAATCCCAATTTAATATATATGTGTGTGTAATAGCTTGAAAATAAATAATGCAGCACATGAATAGATCCGTGAAATTAGTGTTTGAGTTCATCAATCAAGATACCGTCGTGAAAACGTTTTAAGAAAGACTTGTTGACATTGCAACAACCTGAGAGGCTTCAATGTGGTTGTTGTAACTTATTTTAAGCATAACTACGTGACTGCATTTGTAATGAAAGTCATATTAAGTGGGCCCAGAAGTAGTCTTGGCTTTTAAAATTCCCCCGTCAACTTTAAAAAAATTTATTTTGTATGTATATTTTTTTAAAGTTTTAAAATTGGTCACCTATACTTTAAAAAATATTATTTTTGTATGTATAATTTTTAAAAAATTTTAAAATTGTCCTGTCTCAAATTTTTTTTATTGGCTCGTCTCTGTATACTGGAATAGAATGACAGATGTGTAAAAAGATGGGGATGAAAGAAAGTCGCAAGAGATTCATGCAACTTGTTTTGTCCAGGCTAGGAGATACGAGTTAACCTTAAATTTTTTATTATCAAATATATAATAATAATATAATGACAGAAGAGTTGGGCGCTACTGGATAGAACCGGCCAGAAACAGCCGGTCCAGTCGTGCACTTGCTGCTTTTTTTAATATCAAAAAGCAACTATCTAAAGGTTACGTCATGCAATTGGTAATGTGCTCCCCTCACTTATCCAAACGTCATCTTCTATCCTTATATGGGACTTCGTTTATATTTATCGGTGAGCTAGGATTATTGTAAACCAACATAATAAACGTAATATATTTATCATGAACTGTACCTATTATATGTTTTTGTTAACCTTATGATACGAAAATATAAGATATAAAATAGAAAGGTGAAATAGAGAAAGAGAAGATTAAGAACACCGTATATATATGGTTAGATACTAAGACTTATATTTATAGATCAAGAGTCATTTAGACTACATTTATTTTATTACTTGTATTTCTTGATATATTTATGTTGCCCAAGAATTGACTCTAGAGGGGGGTGAATGGAGCCAATTACAAATAATAGATAATTTTCGCAATATAGAAAAGCAATTTCAAGTAAAGTACTTAACACAATTGTGCAACTATAAAGATATGAAATTAGCAATTAAATAGCACAATTATAAAAGAGATAAGAGAAGAGAAATTGCAAACATTGACTCGGCGATTTTAGCGAGGTTCGGAAACTCCTACTCCTCGGCTCAAGATCCCTCTTGAGACTTCTCAATCCACTATGGCTTCTTCTTACGGGTGGAGAGCAAACTTTTACATGAAGCAAGACCTTGTTTCTTTTCCTTGTTAGGAGAACACCCTTCTCTTAGGCTTCTTTTGGGTCACACCAACCCTTACAATTTTGTAGAAAAATTTGTAATTGAAATACAAGATTGAATCTCTCTCAAGATAGATATACAAATGCAAGCTCACAAGAAATATCTCTTAAAGATTAATGTACAAACTTTAACTCTTAACTAGAGTATATATGAATATAAGTGAAGCTCAAACTTTATAAATGAAATTAATAAGAGAAAATGAAATATGTGAAGAATATAAGCTCTTATAATCTCTTAAGTGTATAATAGAGCAAAAACTCTATGAAGATTAAAGTAAGAGCAAAAGCCCTTTGAGTGCTTAATTAAATCTCTCAAGATAGAATAAGAGTGAATGAGAGAGATGAAGAGAAGATCTGAGAACAAAAGCTCTCTTTAATGCAATGTGAAGTCTTTCAAATGATGTCTCTTAGTTATTAAGACATTCCCCACTCTATTTATAGAGTTTCCAAGCTTAATATAGCTGTTGGGAGTGGAATGCATGAGGGTCGAGAAGAAAATAGCCGTTGCAGTTTGAAATCTGCAGATCTGCGACCAAACCGATCGACATGTGGCTAAACCGGTTGATGTATTTTGCAAACCAGTCGACATCTCTTGCAAACCAGTCGACATCTACTGAGCTCCATTTGGACATTTGCGACTGCCTAGATACCGGTCAACATGTGTGAGCTTCAGCTTGGATTTTTGCCACTGCCTAGATATCGGTCGACATGTGTATCAAACCAGTCGACATGTGTATTAACAGTTTTGACAGACAGCTTATGCAAGGACTTTCAGTACAGGACATCTGCACACAGCTTATTTCCATTGAAAATATTTAAGTAAATGTCCATTTACTTTAAGTTTACAATGTAAATAAGGAAGTACCCCCCATTTGGATTCAATAAAAAATATTAGAAAATTGAAATCCAACTAAATCAAAATGTAGAAATTTAGTTTTAGTACAAATTTGGATTTCTGACAGTTTTCGTAAAAATGAATCTTTGTGAAGACCAATGTAGAATTGATGAAAAAATCCCATAAAATCAGTTTAGGCTATTTGAAGTATAAAGAGTTATTATCGGGAAAAATTATTTTGAAATAATCATTATTTCAAAAATTCATTTTTCACACTTAGCTATTTTTCATATTTGGCCAGAAAGACAGTTTTTCATCAAGTGCATACTAGGGTCCTAATGTCCTTTACTAAGGCTTTAGAGATGAGTA